TCATATAGTATGTCCCAAGGAAAAACCCCCGTGCTTCTCCAACCTGATCGGTCTAGCATAGTTTTTTACTTAAGTGGTTGTTTAGTGCATTTAGGGTGTTGGAAGGCTCCCTGGCCGAAACAGGGTCTAAGTCATTTTGTTTGGAGCATTTCCAGCTTTGTAGCTGAACCTCCCTTTTTTCTTTCCTACGACATTCTCACCACTTTCGCAGATATAAGTCTCACCCATCGGAGCTCAGCCAATGGTTATAGGATAGAGTTTCAATCTTTTGACCTTGAGGCTACTGAGATCCAAGTGTATGATGCAATTCACAGATTGCTGAACAGGAATTTCAGAACGTGTTGGGTCGACTACCTCCATGACCGGGTAGACTTATGGTCCTATTAGCTTGGGATGACGGATCCGTGATATCCCGACCTGGCCATCTCTATCTCTTAGAACTACTCCATTCCTTTGACTACCTTTATTGAGTCCTGTCTGCTTCTTTGACTTCGTTGATATCACTTTGATGGCCCGATGCCAATAAGCTGTCGCCCACTTGGGATGCAACCATTTATTCTCTGCCCTTATGGCTCGGATGTGCTTTGACGTATTGAGATACCCATCGAGGCAATTTTGCTTAGTTCGTAGGTTCCATGTGCTGAAGAGCACTACTCATTCGGGACATGAGAGCTTACTCTCTGCCCGATGACTGAGCACAAGCTTTGAAACAACGGACTTTCCCATACGAAATAACCTACTTTTAATAGTCTATGCCTAAGGTTCATGATAACAAAAGCAAAACCCCTCGTATCGAGAGTATTCCTGGGTATCCCTCAGGATGATACCCAGGATATAATTAACATTACAGATACGCTCCTCTGGGAGACACCTGACCCCACAAAAAAAAATGTTTTTTTCGTCCTCTGGTTACGGGTGGCTTACATAAGGATTTTCTTCATGGTTGTTGTGTTTCAAAGCATTATGATCTGATCTTGTTTGGATGTATACTCTTAACCCATCACGCCAGGATTACCCATATATAAGTCTTTTGTCTCTTTTATTTTTCAATATTTTGTTTGTTTGTTGTCGTATGTCCATTTACTATTCGATTCTTCTCCTCTTCGAATCATTTATAAGGGAGACTTATTCGAATAGAAAAATTATATGACACACAAATAGGCAAGTTGACAACGCTGAGATGCTAAAAAGAACCGAAAAAAACATTGACGTTTGCTTTGTTTTTCACGCTTTTCTCAATTTTAACAGCCGTCGGAGGCGTCAAATTTGTGTAGAAAGTGTAGTACTGACAACTCTGAGATGCTAAAAAGAACCGAGAAAAACATTGACGTTTGCTTCGTTTTTCACGCTTTTCTCAATTTCAACAGTCGTCGGAGGCGTCAAATTTGTGTAGAAAGTGTAGTAATTAATTTTGTGAGCCTCTAAACATCTTTTAGCATGAAATCATTAAGTAAGATTTAAGGTGATAGGAAGGAGGAAAGGTGGAGTTTTTGGATGACAAATTTATGCCAAAAAGCTTATTTGAGATATGTTTCAGGCGAATAAGTTATGTGTTGGGCTAGATCATGTTATGAACTCAAATTTTATGAATTCATATGATGTCTAAGTTTCCCGGGTTGTGTATACGAGGCAGTGAGCTCGAGGCGAACATACTAGTCAAGTGAAATAATCTTGTATTAATAAAAAAAAAACTCTTCTATAGATTTCATATGATTTCAAATTTGACACTGATGCATTTAAGAATTCTGGTATATTGTAAATGAATATCTGCAATTAATTTATGGATATAAGTTGATTTTTATTATGTTACACGTAATTCAATGTTATTTTATAAGCCAAATTATTATGTATATGACACTAATTACTTATAGGTATCCAATCTGTTATGATACATGTTTATAAGATATGAAATATCTGATTGCAGAAATTATGCTTTATGAAATGTCTGTTGAATATTGCTAAAGGTATTATGCTTTAAAAAATATCACAAGAAATGTCAAGAGATTGACTATTACATGAGTGCTAGCAAGTACATTATCTAGAAATGTATTTCTCACTCTTGATAATTATACGGGGACGAAACTCTATGGGAACCGTTGGAATTAGATAGTGACAGACGTTAAGGAGTCGTGGGTATCAAGGGGTTGTCGATAACTGATATGTTGAGGAAGTCTAACATTTATCAATGGTTTATATGGCATTTGGGCAGCGCGACGACCGGTGATGAAAGAACATAAAAATTGTTAAACTCTATACATTAAACAAGTCATATTATTATGAAATGTCCTCTATAAAATGAATGAACCTGATTATGAAAATGTTTTTATATATGATTTCATGCTGACGACCTGCATGTTACACTATATTTGATTTTTATATTACCTGTACCTACTTTTTTTTCATGTTTTCTATTATGTCAACATGTTATGATTTTGTATAGACTTGTAAGGTTTCATTTGAGCATGCGCATTACATTCTTTTCATTTTTTAAAATATTATTTTAGCCCTGATTATTTTGCTACACTAGTTTTACTCACTCTAAGTTGTTGCTTCCAGGTAGGGGTAACGAGCAATGAGTAGTCGGGTGTGACTTGTATAGTTTTTTATTTCATAGATAGGAGCTTGTACAGTCTTTTTGGATATGTATTTATTTAGTTGATTTAGCAGTTATGTATATCTACGATTTAAAGATATGATTTTAATGTTTTTGTAAATATGAATGAACCTTGACATGCACTGTATTACGTATGTTACGCAGATCCAGTTAAACTAAATCATCACCCATTGGATCCTAATTATAAACTCAGAACGAGTGCTGGTGAGAATTGTTATGACCAAATTGTCAACATCTATCACACCATGATTGACCCTTAAAGGGAGGGTTATTTGGGTTGTGATATAAGGAGCCTCATATATCTAGATTGAAGAGGAACACCCACAAGATACTCTATTTGCATAACCTCTTCTATTTGGCTTGCTTAATTGTCACAAAATTCATGCCTAAGAATGCTTGAAAATTGAAGTGAATGCCACAAATGCATAGAGGTTTGTAAAACCTCAACATTAATCACAACAACTTCACAATTGAAGTGAAAGCCACACAAATAATCCCATAGAGGTTTGAAAACCTCAACATTAATCACAGCAATTTCACAAATTAGGTAAAGTGCAATCACTATTGATAGTTCCAAAACCAACTCTACATAATATAAGTTTGAGCCAGTGATTTCTAAAGTGTCAGGTGCGCTCAAAGTAATATGGTTGCCCAACGGCAAAGAAAGTAAAAGTTTCCAATGAAATAGTTAATCAAGCATTTAAATTTATTTAAATATGAAAATCTTGTTAAAGTGTATAAAATGATAACCATCACTATAAATAACATTGATAAAGTAATGAAAGTCTCATTTTCATTAAATTTTATGTTTTAAAACCCCATTAAAATGATTACGTTAAATAAATACATCTACACTACTTCAGCTTGTAGCATGTAGACCTAATAATAATCTAATTTTTTATACTATACATTCCATTTTCTCAATGACCATGTTCCTCTTCTTTATATCTAAATTTGTAGGCCGCTGTCTCTTTCTTTTTTTATTTAAGACTCATTCTCTTAACAATCAAGATTTATGATTCTACAACTTAAATTCATACACCAACATTAGATATATTGTTCCAAGAAAGCATGCTTGTTTCTGTAACTCTTTCAGGTTCTTTTCATATCATCCCATGTCAAGTTATCAGCCTAAAAAACATTCATCTACAGGATTTGAAAGATTAACAATCATTATTCAAATCAAGGCAAAGACTTTACCTCACTATTCAGTGCCCCTATATAAAGTGTTCACGTAGACATGCATGAAATCAGTTTGACAGGTATGAAAGGCACTGTCCTTAGTGTTGCCTCACCTCAAACAAGCAGTTAGGCTAGCGCCTGGCTAACTTTTGCAACTCTGGTCAGAGCTTCTGTCATATCTAACTCCAAAGTTCAGCATTACAGCAACATTTTTTAATTTTAATTTGCAAATACAACTTTAAAAAGCGTTGAATGTTTAGTATACATTAAGGGTTTTGACAGAAGCCATATCCGCTCCTCTCATAATCATAGCTCAAGGTACATAGCACACATCCAATAATTTAACTGCATCATAGTGTAATCATGAGTCTGTGTCATTCTCAAAATGTCGGGAAAAAAAAAAGATACAGCATGAAAATTTAGTGTGCAAAACAAAAATCAGTCATGTACATATTTCAATAAAAGTCATCCACGGGTTTTATCATTTTAACCAATTCACGAATTAAGCAAAAATGAAAGCCAAAGGGTTAGCAGACCTACAGACAATTCTAAATCAAAATAAGTAACTACCCCATTATGGCTTAAAACTGATGTCTGAGTAAACTTTACTTATATTGCTCGTTGGAATGAAGATCAGAAATCATATCTCATTTTTTCACTTCTATTATTTAGTTCTAGCCCCTTTTGACTTGACAACCATAAACATGGACTAGAATCCTATTAAAGTGTGTAAGAGCTGCTACTGCCAACCACTACAGGCGTGTAACCATGCTATGAAAAGTTTATTGAAAGTCATTTTTATTATTTTAAAAAAAAAAGAAAACAAATATTCCAAATAATCATCAAACAAATATCCCAAGCAAAAAAACTCATAACATATCCTCAGATTAGTTGCAACCTTTGGCATCATGATAATCATAATCAGGCTTTATCAAATTATTTGGTAACAAATTAATGAATACCATGTATGATGTAATACAATAACATTTTGATTGGCTTGAAAGCTAGTCATCTGAACCCTGTAAAAACAGGGAAATCATACACTAAAAAAAGGCTAATTTTCATCAACATTTAAGATGTAAATCGAGTAAAGTTTAGAATAGGTACGTAGTAATGAACTTTATACTGTAATTTAACGGTCTACTCATGCAGGAAATTCATCATGCAAATCTATTTAAGGCAAAAAATGTAAGGTAGAAACTACCTGCAAGTCATGGTACTCTTTTCCTGCATTGACATCAATTTCAAACAATGAATGAAGGTATAAATGCAAAAAGTATTTTGTATCGTAACTTTCATGAACATTCAGCAATTGTTCAACTACTTCAAAAGGAAGAATAATATCACGATGATGTATCAGCAAAAGCACTGCTCTTTTGCTGTCAAGCATCATGAGTTGCACAACCTGTAACAAGAAACAATAGTAAATTAGATATTAGAAACTATCATGTGAAATGAACTTGAGATAGAAAATAGACTTATATATACAGAAAAGAAATACCCACAATGATTCTAACAATGGAAATACAAGCATAATTAGGCAAGCAAAGAAGAAAGTCTAGATGAACTTAAGATCCTATTTTAATTATGTTCCATAAGAGTTTTTTCTTTTTTTTGGGTTATCCAATTCTTTAGTTGAGACAGAAGTGAGAGGTGTCGGCACTAAAAGAAAGTTAAAAGAAAGTTTGGGGGGTCGCCCGTAAGAAGCTGTCAGCAGCCGGAATTGAAATCTCATCGCCTGCTTCGGAAAGACGTTTTAATTTACGTATATATATGTATATAATTTTAGAAAAATATGAAATCAAACTGACCTCATATTTTTCATAGTTTAAATGAAAGAGCACCTACCTCAAATCCTGTATCTACCCCGAGGGATAAACACAAGACTTGAGGGTGAGGCTCGATCAAATAAACTAAGAATTTGGGTCTGCGAAACCGTTTTATTTGCCGACAAGTTCCCCTATTTAATACAAATAATTAAATAGGATTTATTTTAAGCTGGGTTCGGAAAAGCATCCTATAAGGGCAAGCCCATATAGTTAATTACATCTTAAATGACCGAAGTCACCTAAGAAAACTCTCGATAAAAATCAGGGAATATCATCTTCAAAGAGGTCAAAAGAATAGGACTTGACAACGAAATCGGGCAAAGAGGTGTAAAGGGGGAGAAACTCAAATCTGGAACATTGTTAAGGAATCCAAATGAAAAGAAACTAGGGGAAGCCACAGATCCTGAGGCGAACCTCAGTAGGTTCCCAGTCTATCCTATGGTTTGGCTTCAGCTTTAAGAAGAAGTTATTAAAGTGTTTCATCCTGCCAATTTTATTTAATTAGGACTAATATTCGCGTGACACGGTCACACAAGTTGCCTGAAAGATATGAGGGTTTACATCGAGACCTCGGAATCTAGAACGAGTTAGGACTTAAATCGTACAGCAGAGCTATACGAATGCTTAAAGAAAAGGTGGAGGGTTTATATTGCGCTAGGCAAACAACCTCGAAACCCTATGGATTGTTGTTTAATTTCTAGGAAAAGGGAATAGTTTTGCTGGGGAAGAGATGTTCTGCTGTTGAAGATGGTCGTGCTGCCCACCGCACTAGCTCCAAGCTACCCGACATGAAGAGTTTAAGTTTTCTAGGGTGTCCAGTTATAGTGTCAAATCAAACGGCCCTATGGTTATAGTCCTCTAAACATCCTATATAGAAATGAATCATGTTTGAAGTTATAAAAAAGTAAAGTGTGCGATGCAGGAACAAATAATAGAATGCACGTAGAACAGTAGCAGACAAAAACAGGAGCAGCACAACATGTTATACATGAAGTGAACAAATAATAGAATGCACGTAGAACAGTAGCAGGCAAAAACAGGAGCAGTACAACATGAAGAACAATAACAGAACAAGTGTAACATGCTTTACAGTACGGTAGCAGGTAGAAAACAGGACAAGTGTAACATGCTTTACAGGAAGAGCAGTAGCAGGTAGAAGACAGGAAAATTAATTGCTGTAAAATGTAAAGCAAAC